TGCATTGTCAAGAAGACCTTGTCCTGAAGATTGAAAACGTTGTACCAGGCAAGAGAGCAAGGAAGTGGTATCGGTGAGGATTCTCAGGACAGACCACCTCAGCAACGAGTGGAAGGACAGCTTACAACGTGCACATCAGGAAGATCCCGACATCAAGCCGATTCTGCAATGGATGAAGGCCAGTGCTCCCAAGCCCAAGTGGAGCGACGTCTCAGCGATGAGTTCGACCACTAAAAGCTATTGGGCCCAGTGGGACAGCTTGCTGCTTCAGGATGGAGTTCTGTGCCGTAAATGGGAAAATGTTCGAGGAGACAGTACTATAATGATTGTTCAGGAGGCCATCTGGGAGTTAAACGAACTCTACTGAAGATCCGAGAACGGTTTTACTGGGTCCACTGTCGAAACGATGTCGAGGACTGGTGTCGCAAATGTACAAGTTGTGCGGCTGCAAAGGGGCCTCAGACTCGTAGTAGAGGTGCGTTGAAGTTATACAATGTTGGTGCACCATGGAAGAGAATAGCAATTGACGTGGCGGGGCCGTTACCGGAGATTGAAAGCGGTAACAAGTATTTCATGGTTGTGATGGATTACTTCACTAAGTGGCCAGAAGTCTTCGCCATGCCAAATCAAGAAGTTTCAATAGTTGCAGATAAACTAGTGCATGAAGTCTTCTGTCGTTTTGGAGTACCTTTAGAGATTCACAGCGATCAAGGAAGGAATTTTGAGTCTCAAATATTCCAGGAAACTTGCCGAGTTTTGGGTACTCATAAAACAAGAACGACTTCTTATCATCCGCAATCTGATGGAATGGTAGAACGATTTAATCATTGTCAATCACATTGGAGAGGTACCTAGCAAAAGTTGTAGACAATCGGCAACGAGATTGGGACAAGCACATACAACCGTTTTTGTTGTCATATCGAAGCGCTGTTCACGAAAGTACATCAGTGACACCAGCTTTCGCAAACTTTGGAAGAGAATTACGGCTGCGTGCAGACCTGATTACCGGGATACCACCTGATGACTTGCGGAACAAAATGAATGACATTTATGAGCACGTCAGACAATCGGGCCAGCAAATGTCTGAAAAGATCACATGCACATGCACAATCCAGTCCGCAGCAAAGGAAAATCTCCTAAGCTTCAATCTAAATGAGACGGCCCGTACCGGATTGTGACCAGGATCAACGATGTAACCTACCGGATACAGAAAGGCGCAAGAGGGACTCCTAAGATCGTCCAAGTAGATCGCCTGGCGTGTTATTATGGGGCCGATAATGCTCGGGAAGCCGCCGGAATGCCGCTTTCGTGACCCCCGGTTCGAGTGCCGGTCCGATGGAGGCAGCTCCAGCTAGGTAGCTGCCGCCCTAGCTCCCACCACGGCCGCCTCCACTGAACCTTTGAGCCGTCAACAGTCTACTTGTTAAACTGTTCTATTGCCGTCGGCCTCAGTGAAGGTGTACAACCCGAGTGGCAACTGTTTAGCGGTTCGCGCTCTATTGGATTCGGGTTCACAACGCAGTGTGGTCTCCACTTGGTTGGTGGGAAGACTAGGGCTCCCCTGGAGCTCTGAATCACGTCCAACGGTAGGTATCGGACGTGCCGAGCCTCCTGCTCCTAGGGGACAAGCGGAGTTGGTGTTTGGTCCTGCCAGCGAACACCTTCACATTCTAGTTAAAGTAAATGTCCTGGATGACATTGTAGGTTTTCTCCCCTAACGTCCGTATAAATGACAGCGCGGTTCGTTGTGCGTCGGGTTTGAGACCGGCAGACCCTCAATGGTCCCAACCTGGGCGTATAGATTTGTTGCTGGGGTCCGACGCGCTGGGGTTCATCTTGTTAGGCGAGATAGGAGCCCTACAGCCCGATGGCTTGTCAGCCATGTCCACTGTATTTGGGCACAGTTTCTTTGGACCGGTTCTGTGGTCTCCACCTCCTCAGACGGCCGACCCGCTCTCTGTGGTGGGCGTGTCCCTTTCGGACGTCGTCCAGTGGTTCTGGGAAATTGAGGAGCCCAGAACGCGTTAAGGTTCCCAGAAGGCGTCTCGAATCAACCCTCTGGACTGTGAGTGCGAGTTGTTCTACGAGAACAATACCGGCCGTCGTGTCGACGGTCGTTTTGTCACTCGCTTACCCTTTCTTGACTCACGGCCCCCTTTGGGCCAATCTCGTAACCTGGCCAAAAAGAGGTTGCTTTCCATGGAGCGCCGTATGCGGCGCGACCCAGCCTTTCGCGACAAATATGTCGAGTTCATGCGCGAGTATCAAGAGCTGGATCACAAGTCACCGTCCAACTTCGACTGGCGGTCACAGGAGCACTACTTCTTCCCTCACCATGCGGTCTTGAGGACCCCTGGGAGTAAGATTCGGGTAGTTTTTGACGGCTCAGCCCCCTCGTCAAATGGTGTGTCCCTGAACCAGTGTCTCCACTCTGGTCCTAAATTGATTAAGGACATATTTTTTTTTCGGCGGTAGGTGAAGAAAAAGTTAACACATACGTAAAATTTTAATTTGTATTTTAAATTAACTAATACAATATTCTACATAATTTGTTACATATTTGAGTGCTAATTAACACCATTTTCTTGGTAATCGCATTTGTACAACTGTGTATATGTGAATTCATCCCATCTAAATACACCACCTGCCAGCATATTACACACACTTGGATTTCATATATATCTTGGCACAACACAATGTCTCAACTTGATGAGATTAGAACTGCACAGAACAGTTTGGAGGAATGCTTTTCAAAAAAGGATGGCCGAACTGGAAGCACAGTTACACACGGGGGGATCCGCTAAGGACACGGTTGCAAAGGTGGCTGAGGAGTTTCGAACATTCCGTGAACTCATGTTCTCTATGCTCGGTATGCTCCGTAAACAAATTAATGAGTGCTCCCATATGGTTGACGCTATTGAGACCAGGCATCGACGAAAGGCTCTCCTTTTCTTGGGTGTTGCTGAAGAGGAGAAGGAGGACTGCAAGGCTACAGTGCTAAGTATAATCCACAAAATGGAGTTGAAGGACATCACAGCATCTTGCATTAGTGTCTGCCACAGGATTGGTGTAGCCACCAAAAATCGTATCCGGCCAATCCTAGTTCGATTTCTTAGCGTTGACTTCAGGTCATCAGTATGGAGGGCGAAGTCTAGACTGAAAGGTTGTCCAGTTTCAGTAAAGGAGTTCTTGACAAAGTCTCGGCAAACTGTTTTTGGCAAAGCCCGTCAGCATTTCGGCATGCGTGCATGCTGGACCCAAGATGGAGTAATTGTGGTGAAAGTTGCCGATGGATCCCGCCATAAAGTCACTACCTTAGATGAGCTGACTACTCTTACGCAAAAACACCCTAAGGCGACTGCTGAATCCTCAACTGGTGGCGAGCGCATTGCAGGAAGCAACTCTAAGCCACGTAAATAACTACGCAGTATTGCGTTTTATTGTCTTAATTCTCCTTTTTCCTTTTACTACAACTTTAAATTTATTCAATATTGCAGAATTACTTAGTATAATTTATTATTACTTTTTATGCACAGTATTAAACCTAGTTTTGCTTTTATGTAACCTTAAGCTTCTTTCTTTCTCATTTATTTACATTTTTTTTTTAAATTAGTTAATTTCTAATTTTAATATAGTTTTTCGTTTTACATCATTTATTAAAACTTGTATATTTTCACTTTAAATTTTAATTACATTTTAGGTTAAGTTCTACTTTGTTTTGGTATTAAGTTGTTTTGCTTTTGATTATATTTTGTCCATAGATTAATAGATTCGTGTCGAGTATCTATGGTGTCGAGTAGTGCATAGTGCAAGTTAACTTTCAGTCGCTGGGAAGGTTTTTTTTTTATTAATACATGATCATGGATACAAAGTCCTTCGGACATAGTATATTTGTCGTCTATGAGACACTTCTCTATGATACTTTTTATTTGTTCTAAGTTCTGCTATTTATTATTAGTAATCTTAACGTAGTTTAGTTGTAGTTGTCTTGCAAATCATTTTTATTTTTATTGTTTTGTGTATTATATTTGTTTTTTTAATTTTTGAGTGTGTTAGCTGGCGGGTGGAGCAGGGATGGCAGTTTAGCAATCGAAATTATTACTATTTTTTTACGTTATATAATTTTAATTATACTAATTTATTTATTCTTATATTTTAGGTCTATTTATTTATTTATTTTTGTATATTCTATTACATATAGATGAGTTCCGATGATGATTCTTTTCTTTCTGCCAACGAGTTTTCTTCATCAAATGACAGTTATTGCTCTATTACTGAAACGTTAGGGGATTTTGTGCGACATAAATTCGATGAATCCCGCTCTTTGTTTAATGTTTGCCACATTAATGCACAGAGCGTACCTAGTCATTACAGTGATCTGATTGAGGCTTTTTCTGACGCTGATGTTCATGCCGTCTTGATTTCGGAGACTTGGCTTAAGCCCCATCTTCCTTCTACCTCTTACCCTCTCTCTGGCTTCAGTTTGATACGCAACGATCGAATTGATAGGAGAGGGGGTGGGGTCGCTATATATCTTCGTTCTGACTTTTCTTATAAAATTCTAGCTTCTGCTTCCCCCTATTATACTGCATCTGCAGAATTTCTTTTCCTTGAAGTTTGCGTAAAAGGAGCCAAATTAGTACTTGGCGTTGTCTACTGTCCTCCTTCTGTCGATTCCTCTTCTACACTGTTTGACGCAACCGTGGCAAGCTTACCGAATGCATCTCTATATGAAAGTCAAAATAATATTGATTTAAATGAAAAAATAAATAAACTGTCGAGTGACTTATTAATTGCTCATCAAGAAATAGATAATCTCAATAGTGAAAATACTAGTTTAAAGTTAGAAATTGAAAAATACCAAAAAATAATTAAAACATTTAAAAAAAATTACTACATATTCCTCATGTAATACGACACCTGCATCAGTGAACAAGAGACGACAAACTTTGCAGATACCAGAACAAAATCTACTGTGTACACCTATAAACAGAATAGAAATGTCAGAGTGCAGTATTAACGAAATCAAAGACAAAGAACAAGAATTAGTCAATAACATAGAAAAAACAGATAGCTCAAATCATCTGCCTAACACATCATGTCACATTCATCTAGAGAAAGAAGATATTCACAAAGAACACACGGAAGTAATTGCAACAGACACAAATACTAATACATCTCTTAATACTCCAAAAACTCAACTAGGAAACACTTTGCCATATTATATAAGAGAAAAAAATGACAATTACAAATTAGTTACATTTAAGATGCGAAGGAAAATAATTGTTATTGCTGACTAACAAGGGCGAAATATTTGCAAAACTCTTCAAAAATTAATTGGCGATAATTTTCTTGTAACTTGTTATTGGAAACCAGGAGCTAAAATACAGGAAGTCTTACAAACAGAAAAGAACGAAATATGTAAACTTACAAAAAAATGATTATGTTGTTGTTCTTGGCGGCGTGAATGAGAATAATCCATATGAATTTGAATTTTGTATCAGGAGCTGGCTTTATAGTGTAACAAATACTAATGTAATATTTACAGAAATACCATATAATAGAAATTTAAACATCGGCAAACTTAACTATGTATTAAGATTTATATGTACAAGCTTTACTAATGTTTCGTTTATAAATACAAATGGTTCGAAGCCTTTCTTTCATCAATATACTTTTACTCCATATATACCATGTCGTTTTCTGCTACGTGAAATTCTACGCCTCGACTACAAATTAAAATTTGAGCTTTACCAAAATACAGTAATTTCCTTAAAATTTACTCCACTTCAGACTACTAGTACACAAACTAACAATATTGAAATGGTAGACACATGTACACAAAGTGACGATATATTGAAAGACAATATCATAGAGGAAATCACTCCCAGGCATGAAAATATGACACATTCTGGTAAAAATCTTTTTCGTATATAAAAAACTATATATATTACATCAAAATATTAATGGATTAATTGCTAAATCTGATCTCCTAACTGTTAATTTAAATAACCTCGAATTAGATGGGTACTCGGCTGATGTTCTATGCATAACTGAACATAATATGACTTACAATGATACGAATTCATTCAAATTAGATAATTATACTCTTGCATCGTACCATGTTCGAGAAAATCGTTATGGAGGCTCCTGCATACTAGTTAAGAAATGTCATAAATATAAACCTCTTCCTGAAATAGCACAACTTAGTAAAACGAACATAATTGAATGTTGTGCAGTTGAACTTATAGAGCATAAACTTAAAATAATATGTACCTATAGACCTCCAAAAAATAGAAATGAAGATTTGAATAATTTTTTGTATAATTTCGACTTAATATTAAGAAAATACTGTAATAATAATAAAAATAAAATTATAATTTGTGGAGATTTTAATATAAATATAATAGATGCAACCAAAATTTCTAAAAATTTTATACAACTATTAACAAGCTGCAATCTAAAAACAGCTATAAAAGTACCTACACGACTAATTAGTGATACGTGTATCGACAATATTTTTCACAATATTCAAGGGTGTAAGAGCAATACTTATGACTTAGCTTTGTCAGACCATACGGCACAACTGTTAATATGCCCAGTCAAGCAAAGCTACTATCTTAATTACTGGCATATAAGCAGACGCGATTACAATGTAGAAAATCTTCACAAATTTAACAATTACTTGAGCTCTCTCACTTTCAACGAGGTTTATAAGGAAAAAAATCCTAATCTTGCTTTTGACCAATTTCATGACTTGTTTACCCTCCTCTATCGCCTATGCTTTCCTGACATTAAAATTAAAGTCTATTCACGTAAACAAACAAAATGGTTATCTAATGGGATAAAAAAATGTACTAAGCGTAAACGACAGTTATTATGGCAATACAGAAAAAAACGCAGCGTAGAAAATAAAACTATATTAAAAGAGTATTCCCAACGTCTAAACAAAATTATCAAACTTACCCAAAAGTCCCAAAATAATTACTATATTAACACAGCACAAAATAAATCGAAAGCTACCTGGCAAGTGATAAATAAATACAAAAATGGCACAAATGAAGAAGCAATTAGTAAAATTATTGTTTATGGTGATATAATTGAGGATCCTCTAGTTATAGCTAGGGCATTTAATAATTTCTATACCAACAAAATTAATAAAGACCGCCCTAATAGTGATAAACCATATAAGTTAACTTTTAACAATCCCAATTCAATTTTTATACCACCCACAACATCATTTGATATAGATAAAGCTATAAAATCTCTTAAAAACACAAACAGTACCGGTTGTGATGAAATTTGTACAAGAGTTCTAAAATACGTATCCGGTGCAATTGCTCCGGTACTTAGTTATATTTTCAATTTATGTATTTGTAATGGTATATTTCCTGAAAGACTAAAGTCTACAATTGTCAAACCACTGTTCAAAAAAAATGATCGGGAGAATATATCTAACTATAGGCCCATTGCGCTTATACCTGTGCTCTCAAAAGTATTTGAGAAAATAATTTATAACTCTTTATATAACTACCTTGAAACGTACAATATTCTTAGAGAAGAACAAATAGGATTTAGAAAAAATAAGACTATAAATATGGCTCTATACAATTTTTTTAATACCGTTATGTCTAGCCTAAACAATAAAATACCTGTATGTGCACTTTACATGGATCTTACTAAAGCATTTGATTATGTTGATCATAAAATATTACTCAAAAAGCTTGAAGCCTACGGCATTCGAGGTAATGCACTAGATCTACTAACATCATATTTAGTTAACAGAAAACAAAGTACACACATTACAAAAATTTGTCTAAAATCAAGAAAAGAAATGACCTATGTTTCTGAATACAGAGTCGTACAAACTGGAGTACCGCAAGGAAGTGTTTTAGGACCATTGTTGTTTCTTATTTATATCAACGACCTTCCCAACGTCATTAATCACAAAATAGTATTATTTGCTGACGATAGCACAGTTATTTTCACTAGCAGAAACAAAATAGATTTAGAAAGTAACATACACTTTGCTTTAGAGAAAATCATGAATTGGCTAAACATAAATAATTTAAATATAAATTTAGAAAAAACAAAACTTATGACATTCTATCAAAAACGTAATAAAATAAATAATTTAAATATCAATTATCTAGGACAAAAAATCAATACCATAGATAATATAAAATTTTTGGGTATAAATGTAGATTGCAATTTGAACTGGCAGTCTCATGTGAGCAGTGTGTGTATGAAATTAAATCGTTTTTCGTATGCGTTATATATGCTTGGAAAAGTTGTGGACACATCCGCCGTAATGGCATCATATCATGCTTATGTTATGTCTACACTTAGATATGGTATTATGTTCTGGGGTAATTGTACGGACAAAGAAACAGTATTTAAAGCTCAAAAGAGATGCTTACGAGCCATTTGTAAAATTAACCAAAGTGAGAGTTGTAAGCCATACTTCATTAATTTAAAATTATTAACAATGCCATGTCTATATATATATGAGGTAGTCTTATTTGTACGTCAAAACTTAAGTTTTTACAAAAAACTAAATGTCCAGCATCATAAAGATAAATTGAGCCATCCCAATAGTAAGACTGTTTTGTTTCAAAAAAGCGTATTCTGTATGGGTCCTCGACTGTATAACCATTTACCTAAATATATAAGAGATTCTAAGAGCTTTCACATTTTTAAGAAACAACTAAACACATTTTTAACCATAAAAGCGTATTATAATATTGACGATTATCTATATGACAATTTTTAAATTTTAACTATCAAATTTATTGAACGAAACGTTATCTATGTTATTAATTTTGAGACAATTTATACCTACTCGTTTTGACATTATTACTTGGACATTACAATTTTAATTATTACGTGTATTTTATCATTATTTTGTGAATTATTATTATGTTAGTAGCGCAAATATACAAATAGGGTTATATTATGTTAATGTAATTATCGGCATTTTCCATTTAATTTTAATTATAAATAAAATCTAATATTTAAGTAGTTTGCATACCGAAAGGTAGAATATGGCTGTATTTTGTTAAATTATTAAGACCTATTGTAACCCATATATCGCAAATGAATAAAATAAATTTGAAATTTGAATTTGAAATTTGAAATTACTTCTCCAGTCTTGAAACAATTCTGGAATCCTTGGGGTCGGAATACTCACATCACGTCATCATGGGCGATTTTAATACAGATCTCCTCACTCCGCACTTAACCCGTTCCTCTAAGCTCCTTCAAATTGTCGATTCGGTTGGCCTCCACATTTTACCTTTACAAGCCACTCACCACAATATTGATGTGGAGGATAACTGGCTTGACTTAATCCTTACCTCTGCTCCTTCTCTTGTCTTCTGCCACGGTCAACACTTTGCACCTGCTTTCTCCTATCACGACCTCATTTTCCTTTCTTACGTCCTTAAACCTCCTAAACCTCCAGCTAAAACTCTACACATGCGTTGTTTTGGTCGCTTGGATGTTGAAAAGCTTTGTGTGGATGCATCCAAAATAAACTGGAACAGCGTGGTTTCTGCACCCACTGTGGATGAAAAAGTTGGGGCTTTGAATGAAGCTATCCTTAAATTATATGACGTACATGCTCCCATCAAAAAAGTGAAGCTCAAGCGTCCACCTGCGCCTTGGATGACGATTGGGGTTCGGATTGCGATGAGACGTAGGGATCGCGCTTTCGGCAAATTTAGAAGAGATCGATGTGATCAAAACTGGACTCTTTATAAAGTTGCAAGGAATCGGTGCAATCAGATGATACGCAACGCCAAACGCCGATTTATTCTTAGTAACATCTCATCTTCTTCCCCTGCTAATATCTGGAAGTTCCTTGGAACCATAGGTATCGGTAAACGACACCGTTGTGAGTTTCAAAGGACGATTGGTCTGGATGATATCAATTTTCATTTTGTCTCCAACAGTCCTCTTGATCACCAGACCAAGCGTCTTACTGTTGAACACTTAATGGGTTTACCTCGTCCTGATATTAATCTGTTTCAATTTTCTCCAGTAGTTGTTGATGAGATCAAGAAGATAATCCTTTCCATTAAATCTAATGCTGTAGGTTACGACAACATCAGCCGACGGATGATTATCTATATACTTGACCATATCCTCCCAGTCATCTCGCACATCATTAACTTCTCCTTGGATTCTGGTAATTTTCCCTCACTGTGGCGTAAGGCTTACGTTATTCCCTTACAAAAGATCCCAAATCCCACTTTACCCAATCATTTCCGACCTATATCCATCCTTCCCTTCTTATCCA